AAAAATAATTCCTTAAAGAATTATAAAACTACAAACGTAAAAATATTATTAATAATTATTTTCTTTTTCTAATTAAATTTTTAATATTGTATTCCAGCTACTTAGACCTCCTCCTCTTTCCTGTTAACATATTTTTTTACAGTTGATAAAATAATATTGTCAACTTACCTTCATGTTGGTAGCAGGCAGTTACACTTTTTAAATGACCACTTACGAAGAACTTTATACAGTAACTCTCACTTACGAACTGAAAAGAAGAAAGTACCATCCAGTTATAGAAGACCAACATGTTTCGCCCCCCTTACTGATTACAAGTTATTTTTAACATTATAACAAGAGGTAACTAAAAAATAGATTGCGAATATTTATCTAATTTTGTAGTTTTTGTTACTTATTGTGATCATCAGTTTATAGATACAGATAACAGGCAAATAAATCAATAATACACAGTTTAAAATTTTCAAAGAGATGAGAAGTCAATAATTAATTAATAAATAACATAAATTTTGTTCCCGTGCTGTCAAGATAGAACAAAGCCTTACAAAGTTCTTAAGCACGATAATATAAATTGTATCACACTTACTACAGTGTGATTTATAGATTTTTACATAATTTACTTACAATTGGTATAATATTTGATCGAATCCTAAGAGAGCTTTATCTCCTGTACGTTTCTTTCACGTTTACACCACTGGTTTCGTCTCTCAATATGTTTAAATTAGGTGCGTCCTCCTTTCTCATGAATTAATAGGCCCAAAGACAAAAATTTAAATTTCCCGTTCACCTATTAATTTCCTATTAGTTATATCTATAAAACATATGCAGAGAGCTTTTTTAATCGATCAATTACTGCAGTACGAATTCGACGAAAGTAAATGTAGCTAAATCTTTCGCAAGTTGATAAACACTTCATAATCAACATCATTTATTAACTCTAATACTTTTACATCATTTATTGACATATGTTTTCCTTTTTATTTAAAATTTAATTAATTAAGCGTAGGTTTGCAAAATTGGAAAAGGACATAAGTAACATATCATATTAATTAATCCCCTACCTACAAAGATTTAACAACTTCTATGGGAGTAAAATTGTTCATGCGATATTTATTATTAATTAGTATCATTTCTTCGTAACAGCAGTAATATGTGGAAAAATTAAAAAAGTGAAAATACGATACGTCATTTTTTAACATATTTTATATAATTATTATTTACATATACTGCAATATGGATATCAAGTCACAAGTAGGTATAAAATCAACTTGTAG